ACACGTTTCGTGTTCGAGAGCACGGAGCTCTTCGGGGCTGGGCCCTGCTACCCTCTTTCTCTTTGATGTACAACAGAAGCCAGAATTTTCTCAGTAGAGCGTACCGCGCCTACTTGGTTCTCTCAATTTCCCGCGAAAAACCAGAACACGCCGTGGGAATGTGACAACAGGTCCGAACACGACGATTGTCTCTACAGACAAAGCACCGTCGGATGTTCGAACCCTGCCCGGTAGCTCGGAGCTCCCCACCAATTTCTCAGCATAGCTGAGATCCGATTGCTCAGGCTCGCTCGACAAGCTTTGTGAGTGTGCATTCCAACGAATTCGCGCCGACTTCAAGTTAAATTCGGCTTTCAATGCAGCATTAACCGCTTCTTCAAAAAGAAACAGATGCACACGGAAGACTTCCAATTTGGCCAAGCCAGTGCGTAAGCTTTCCATATTGACGGTCACTGCGACTGCCTCAGGATGAGGATCTGCTGCCATCTCGTTAATAAGTGTTCTCGACTCTTGGACGAAGTCCACCTACTCTTTTTTACCCTGTCGGATGGCAGAAACGTAATCGCATGCGATATGCCTGATCAGGCGGCGAGAACATTCGCAAAAACTGACGCTTCAGCTCCTTCCAGGAGGAAAACGCCGCTTCAACCGAAGCACTGTACGTGAGTGCCCATTCTCTCACTCAGCTTCCGAGCTTTGAGATAGCTAGCGCCACAGGTTGTAGCTCGTTCTGAGGCATGGCGGATGCCATAACTTACTCGGCCTCTCTTATCCAGAGCTGGAAATTTCCCCCATCCTTACCCTCGTAGGTTTTACCGCTCATCATGAGCGGCTTGGGTCGGGAGGAGTCATCTGTCGTCGACGTTGGCGTCATGGACGTAATTGACGCTGAAAACGTTTGCTAAAGATCCTTTAGCAGCGCATTATTTCAGCTTAAAAACACCTATTGTCGGGCGCTTATCACCTCGTAACCTTGCGAAGCGAGGGTTTGCACGCTTTCAGAGCCAAGCAGGGACATCAGCTTATTAATCCCGTCTTGCATGCCTTTGGGAAATAGAAGATTTGCTCCATCCTCACAAAGAATCAGTCGTTACGTCTCAGGCGTAGATTGACTCCAAGTGCTACCGTAGCTCTTTGCTGAGAGGAAGCTAAGCTATTGTCACCGAACTTACGTTGTTTACGACCAGTACAAGTGAAGCGGATCGCAATTCGCTACCTCCAAGAGTACTTAAAACCTAACCAATGTAAAGACGATCTTCCATTCACAATTGAAACTGTTCGTAACTGTTTCATTTGCGGCAGAGTCACCTACATCTAAAGCCTTAGTTTTCCCTGATTCAATGATAGAACGTAAGTAGTTTGCATTACTTATGGCAGTCTATCCACGTAGTGGCTTCTTGTTACGGTGAAGCCACACCATTACACCAGCTTTTGTATCCCACACCTCCGTACCGTCACACAATCTTGGTGATTCGCCCTTTCATACAAGGTACGTGTAGTTACGTCACAATTTGAGAAATGACATCTTTACGTGATGATTGTATATAGGGAAGCAGACTGTGACACCATTTCCATCACGATCGACGTCCAAGACACCACGGGTATTGAAATTAGCTTACACTGATGTAATGGGACCAACGCGGGTGGTTTCAAAAGGAGATGCGTGAAATGTGTTGGTATTCGTGAATTCATCGCTTTATGTGGTTACGTACTCCATGAAGAACACGGACTAAGTTACCACAATGCTTGACGAATTAAAGGCACTCAACGGGAGCGTATGGGGATAACTTATCAAGTGTCTCCGATCTGACATGGAGTCATATTCATGAACAGAAAGGTCACAGGTGTATTTGCAAAGTACCATGCACCAGCTTACCGTTCCGCTCTCTACAAAACGGAGTGTAGAAACGGATTAGCCATACGATCATTGGAGCATGCTGCACTACAAGGGCATGCCGACGACGTGTTGGGCAGAATTGTTAGAATCATCTGTGAAAACGGAGCGATCGAGCATGACCCTACATGAGGTAGGCTTTCAGGAGAAGCCACAAATAGAATCTTTCCGTGTGTTTGGGTCGCAAGGGTACGTTCACGTCAACAACGCAAAAAGGTCGAAGCTTGATTGCAAGCGTTCTAAGTGTATATTTTTCGGGTAGGTAGAAAAAAACATCATCTATATATACGACGTGGAAGCATCCAAGTCCAAGTGAGCACGAACGGTTAAGCTTGACGAGCATGAAGTGAGCGGTATATACGATTCATCGTACCCGGAACAAGAAGCGACCATCCATGTAACCAGAATGAGGGATGCAGCAGCTCTGATTCCGGTTGACCAACGTACGGCGCAGAATCAGCCCACGGAGGACGTCGAAGGATCCGTTCAACAATTTTACGATGGATAAAGTTGAGTCCTGTGTGCAACAGTCTCTGGCACTAGAAGATGGAACATTAAGTGGGCTGGAACTGGCAGAATAGTTGAGAAGGATCGTATGGTATTACGTTTAAAGGCGTAATTATCAAGTCGTTCCCAGAAGCCAGTATTTTTTATCAGAAGATGGCTTAGAACTGAATGATGAACAATGGCGGAAGGGAGCAACGGACCACCATTGTTGAAGCATACAAGAATGGTTATTGCTAGCTTAAACAGTATAAGCGTATGCAGCAACGATTGATGGAGCTCCTGACACTCCAAACACATACGTTGAAGCAATCACAAGTATCATGTCGGGAGGCAATGAAGGTCCTACTGCTATTACACGAATATAATGAAACGTTGTTTCTTATGCCGTGTGGAACAGCTTATTCGATTAGGTGTTGTTGGGTTTTCGCTAAGAAGCGTGACAAGGCGCGGCTGGTGGCATAAGGTTTTAACCAACGTACGGTATGGTTTTCTTTGAGACATACCCCTCTGTGGTGGTTATGAGCTCAACTCGTATTGTCTTGGCAGTATGCGCAGCAGAATATTCTGAGATATAACAATACGACGCAGATACAGCATTTCTGAACAGTGCGCTAAAGAACCATCTATACATGGGCGTACCATCCGGTATTGTGAAAGCTGGTGATCAGCCTGGAACAAGTGTCTTCGTGAAAAATGTGTTTCAAACATGTGGTGTGGATCAATGCGTGTATGTGAAGCACTCCAAGAATGGCTTGGAACACGTCTGGCTGTACGCAGTCGATGTGTTTATTGCAGTTAAGACCCTGCTGAGATCCATGAAACCAGAGATACTCTCAAAAATGCTTTTAAGATGAAGAAACTCGGTCAAGCAAAATTTATCTCGAGAGGGCTCAAAAACGGATGATCAAGCAGACACGGTACATCGACGATAAAACGGAGCAATCTGAACAGCACAATGCTAAGATGATCGACAACCCTCGTGCTTCCAGTCTCAAGATGCCAAAAATTCGTTCGCCACGATCAGATGCAGCATTAACTGGATTGCGGTCAAAAACCGTTCCGATTCCTAAACAGGTATCTTATGTACAATGCAATATAAATTAGGCCGGACATTGCCTTCTTGGTAACGCAGCTATCAAGATTTCTCGAGAGATCGGAACTACATCAATGGCGGGATACGATTGGTCTTGAACATAGAACGCTTGCATGGAACTGCGTATGAAAGATGTCCTGGCACGATTATATTTGAAGCGTTTATGGACGCTGATTGGGAGAGTAACATCGACGACAGGCGTTCCGTATCAATATAATGGTTAGGATCGAGATCGTTATAGTGGTATTCAAGTCGAAGAATGAGAAAAGATTGGCGTTGAGCACAGCAGTAGCAAGTTACATAGCGCAGAGCTTATGCACCCAAGTGGTACTGTAGACGCGTGCGATGTTAAAGGACAAGAGCAAGGGACAGAATTTTGCTTCCCGAAGCTAGTCAGACTTTTCAAGGGGCAATAGCACCGACACAGAACGCTGGTTATCATGCCAGGACCAAGCATATAATCATCAAACATGACTCCACGAGAAAGAACGTTACAGACGGGAAAGTCAGATTGAACTACGTCGACACGAAGAGCCAACTCGCGGATATGCCAAGGCACTCAGGACCAAGACGCTCAAGCTCCTAAGTGAAAGGACAGGTATCAAGACAAAGCCAATGTCTAAGCAAAAAAACACGGCATAAAGGGCGAATGGGAGTATTACGATTGCCCCACTTAATGCATATAAGGGAAATGAAACCGGGTTCCACGTACCCTGGTGTGAAGAGTTTAGTCACAGGATGGTGTGACCACACAGTGGTGTGGCTACTTCTTAACATGAAGCCACTACGTGGCGGGACTGCCAGAAGTTATGCATTCTAATTAAGTTTTTCTATTTCATCAGGAAAATCTATAGTTTAAAAATCGCAAATAAAGCAATCACATACAATTTCAATTTTGAACTGAAGAGTTTGTTTGCCTTGGGTTTAGGTTGTGGTTTCATTTGGAGTAAGCGGTTTGCGATCCGCTACACTCGTACTGGTTCTAGTATAGAGCGTAAGGTTGGTGACCTTAGTTTAGCCTCCACTAGGCAAAAGCGTTATAGCAGCTCCGTTTCACTACTTGTCACTTGTATTCAATGTACACCTGAGTCGTCACGACTGATCCTCTGTGAGGATGAAGCGGTTCTCCTTTTTGCCCCAGAGCATGCAGGACGGGTTAGAAAGCTGACGTTCCTGCTTGGCCCAAAAAGCGTGCAACACCTCGCTTCGCAAAGACCCAAAGCGGTCAGCGCGCGCCTAGAGGCGTCTACAAGCTATGCAAAATGCTCTGCTAGAGCACCTTAAGCAGAAATTATTAGTGTCGATTACGTCCATGACGCCACCGT